CTTCAGGATTAGCTTTAGAATTCTGTGATTATGAAGAAAGTGGTTATATGTGTGTGGTATTTTTGGAAGGGAAATCCTCCCTGGCATCTAAGTGCCTGCAAGCACAAAATTTAATTACCCTATATTATTACGCCTACTCATCAGCTATGGACCACAGAGCCAGCCTTTCAAGTGATACAGAACCAAGTCAAGTACTTTGTCCTCCCAGAGATCTGGTCAATAAATAAGGTGCAAGGTCATTCTTATTACCCATTTTTTCTACTAGCAATTAAGTAAGGGCTTTCAAGCTCAGTCCTCTTCCTTTTTTCTGTTCCTTACTGAGGTGTCTATAACAGAGACAGGCAGGGAGCGTTCTGGCTTCACTGGTCACTGATCTGTATTATAGGAATCAGCAGGCAGGCCAGAGGTCAACCATACAAACCCAACAAGAAAACGCCTATTCTGTACAACCATCAGCTGCCTGGAGTCAGTCATCCCCCTCAAAGGGACACCACAGAAAAGGTCAAGTCTAAAAATCGGCAGTTTCAGTGGATGATGAAGTCAAAATGTGAAGAGATCCTGCCATGCTGAAAATCTAGCACAACCTTAATAAAACTGGCATTGTTGCACATTCGCTATGAGGAATGCAGATTACATTCTATAGAAACTGGATCAGTCCATACTTCTCTGGCCACTTAACCTTTTAACTGTCTTTATGTGAATTTTATGATTGGCCACAATGATTGACTTTAGATTTTGCATTTCACATCCTCTTGAAAGAAACTCAAAGCACTGATGTAAGGATTGATTTGCAGAGTTAACATGTCTCTAGAATACCTTTGATTCCAAGAATACCAGTATTATATAAAAGCAAAAGGGTTCAGTCTTCTTTGATTCCTTTTCCTTGATCTTCTTTTTCTCTCTTTTTATTTTTTTTTTTCTCTTGTCTTGCCTTCTAAAATATCAAGGTCCATCTCTTATCAAGGCAATGCATATTTGGCATCACACATACAATATCTTTTGGACATATCTGGCACTCTGGCTGATGTATATACTGGGACATGCACATAGAAAACATGGGGTTTGGTATTTCTGCGGTGGGAAGTTTTTGCTATAGTGATTACAGAAATGTGTTTACAACATTTGCATTTATTCTTCTAATCATTTTCATTCAGCTCAGAGTTTGTTGGTCCATAGGAAGTTTCTGTCCAACTATAATTCTCTGGGCTGAAGACACAGAGATGACCATTCTACAGAATTCTACAGAGATAACTTCTACAAAAGTCTTTCAATGAATTATCATCTTCTACTAAAATCTGATTCTTAAAGAGTGTCAGTGGCATACAAAGATGGTGGTACAACACTAAAGAACTGAGGATTATTTTCATGCTATATTAAGTTTGCTTGCTATGTTCAGATAGTTCAAAGATGTGACAGACTTCCCCATTACAATTACCCTTGTTGGTTGAGGTTCTTCCTTAGGAGAGTGTGGATGAGTAAAGGTGAGGATGCTTGAAATTCCTCTGTCAAGATCGTATCTCTGGTGTTTAGAATGACTGCTGGCTCTAGGAGAGTATATGTATCAATGTGGATTTTCTGCAATAGTAATTTGCAAGTTGTCTTTTTCTTTTGATTGTGTATATCTAAAAATTTGTATTAGCTTAGAAGTCTTACAGAAATGTTTATGAAATGTTACGGAACTTGTGGGAGCCCAGGAGTCCAGGATTTCAGACCACTTGACAAAGATGTAATTTACCTTTTTTACATACTGCATAGGCTGATGATGGAATTGCCAGGTGTCAATTCATCAGCATGGAGTTGCTGGCATCACTGTCATCATGATTTGGAAAAAGTGTTGTTTGCCCAGCACAAGTTACTGTGGGTGAAGAAGTGGACAAGTTTAGCTGCATACTCAGACTGCAAATCTAACTGATGATCCTGTTCTTAGAGATACTCAAAACAGGATTTAGCCCATGATGATGTGGGAGAAAACAGCAGAGTAACAAAATACAAGCTGTAATTAGGACTTACATGCTTCCACAGTATGCTTGCACTCTGAATACTCTGCAATTTTGATTATGCCAGCTCAGGCTGTAATAGAAGACAGACAATTCAACATTGTGAACACAAGAAAGGTGAACATAACCATGGAACCAAAAACACAACAGAACCTGAAAAATCATGAGTAGTGCATAGATAGCAAAGAAGAAAAAATCCAAACATCTGTGTGTGACAATAAAAGAAATCAAAGATTCATAATGGAATTAATTATCAGGTAAGCAGGTTTAAAACAAGCAGTTACTTTACTCCCTTTCTTTTCATTTTTAACTTTTCTTTGTATAACTTAATGATGGAACTCATTGTCCAGGGGCACTTTTGAGGCCAGAACTACAGACAAATTAGGACTAAGACAAATTTATGGAGGGAATCTGTGGACCAGATTCAACTAAAACAGATTGCTGGATGCTGTGTAAGTTACCCTAAAGCAAAATCACTGCGTAAGCCCTTTGTTTATATCCTTCCCTATCCTTCTACAACTGTTTATAAGCAAAGAGAAGATTACAGATAAGACAGGCTTGTGATTTGACTTGTAATAGCACCTTAAATTTTCACATAACATAAAAATCAGTAAAACAAACCAGAATAAGGTTCAAACATTACCTCCAAGCTGGATTAATCAGTTTTCACTAATCTGTCATTGGTAGAGGACTTCTTGAGATAAATATGAAGCAATGTCGAGAACTGTGGGTTCTAGGACTGTTACAAAATGGTTAATTTCATAATGGCAAACCAGTGAGTTAAATGGAGTATCGTGTGTTTCAATTGCCAGTGCACATACGCTTTTATTTTAATAATTATTAACATAACAAACAAGAATTTTTTCTCAGTTGGATTAGACAGCAAATCATTTGATAGTCCAAGACTGAAGTGAATAGCCTTTATAACTGAATATATAATAACACTGGCATTTAAAAGGAACCAAATACATACTGAGTTTACTTCCATGAAACTCAGAGTAGCATTTAACATACCAATACATGAAAACACTTCATAAAGCAATGCATTAGTTTAATTAATATGACCAAATCTTGATTTTTTTCACACTCTTCATTTCCATCATTTATCAAAATTTAATTTTTCTTTCAAAATACAGAAGGTTACCAGTAACAAGAAGTCACTCAGATTTCCTTGTATAGATATATAACTGCATGGATATCAGGAAAGATGCCATTCAAGGAAAAAATAGGGTTCAAAAGGGTATGAAAACCCTTAGTACCATTTGGACACTGACAAATATTTATTTATTAATGGGAATGGAACATCCACAGGCCAAACCCTGAGATGGTGGCACACAGATGAGTGAAGAAGAGCCTGAGGAAGAGTATTGCCTAGGTGGCCAAGCAAAAGCTTTTGCATCTCAGAGGGCTATTTTGGAAACCCAGACAAACTTCTGAGCTTTGCATTTGTGTATTATCAAACCACACAGCAATACCAGACAGAAAAAAATTCTCTGGCTAACACACAAAAATATATATAAATATTGTCAATAAAAAAAAAAAAAAATCACTGACTCCTCTCTACAGATGACAAGTACAAAACCAAGAAATATCACAATTCTAAAGCATATGTTAATGGCTGCCCTGTAGAAGATAAGTACTGCATATGGTAAAAGGAGATTTTTCTTTCTTTTTATTTTTTAAGAACATATGTATGTTACTAAAAACTACCTAAAGTTTGAAATTCCTTACAGCACATATCAGAAAATATACATATACTTCCATAACAGGCTTCCATATATTCTCCTTTCAGATCTCAATTAATGTGTTGGACCAACAAACCTCTAAAAAATGCACAAACTCATATTGGTGATACAGATGAAGTATCTCATTATGTCATCCTAAATATATTATATGTATAGTATACAAATTTAAATTTGCATTCAAAATGTATAATTCAATGCTTAAAGATACATCAACATCAGTTTGAACCATCAGGTTTTTTTCTGTTTCTGAACTACCACTTTCAGCTTCTCATTCATTTGACTTAACTCTCATATTCTCAAGGGAAGGAGTTTCTGTTTAGTTCAGCCCTGCATAAATTGTGAAGCACAGGAATAACTCTGTTAATTTTAAAATCAGACTCCTGACATTCCTAAATATTCAGTATTTGTGCAGGTCTTTCCAGCATGTGGGATCTAACTACTTAAACTTAGTTAACAGGAGCTGTCCAAAACAAGCCCAGTTCTGACTGGCAATAACCAAGACCACAGACAGCAAACCAAAGGGTCATCAGCAATTTAGTAAAAACTCACAGAAGTCTATTTGATTTAAAAAATCTCCCTCTCTTTATTGCACATGCACCTGAAAAGAGTCTCCTCTCCCTGCAAACCCAGAAAAATGCAGGGCTCTAAGGACAGCCTATTACATGTACTATTTCCAAGTAATTTCTCTTCTCATATGTGACTACTGAGAAATGACAAATTTTGAAAAGCCTGCATGATAAAAATAACATTTCGAAATAGAGAAAAAACCCTTCTCTTCACCCAGTGTTTCCACATTATATTGTACCCTAAAAGAACATATTTACTAATGCTTAAAATGTTGTTTTCTAGGAAAAGGAAAGAGGATGAAACAAAAGAAATTATTCTCTTAAATAAAACAAAGTCTGAACATGCTCTTTACCTCTTCTAAGGGGTGAACACGTAAAAGTGCATGAACAGAAGGAAAAGGCATTAAACTGTAAGATGAATAAAGCCCAAAACAGTGTGCTGAAAGGGACCAGGTCACAGAAATTTCTGTCTTAAAAATTCTGGTTTTGTAGGAGAAGAACATTTTGAGGTATATAAGTAATTAAAGATACCACAAAATGTTATTTTCAGAAATGCTAAGGGTCTGTATAGGCAGACCATCCTTGCAATGTGGCTGTTGCCATTTCTCAGAGTGCTAACTGAAAATATTAGCACTTTTCAACTTTGTAACTCTTCCCAGTTTCTAGCTCTGTAAGAAGTAGAGAATTGCAGTGGACTGACAAAGCTGTTTCTTTGTGTACTGGGCAAAGCTTCTGCGAGAATATTTTCCTTCCTGGCACAGTAACACTGCTTACAGTGGTCTGTCAGTCTCAGTTTCACTAGAGAACCGTTTAGCCGGGAAATGAAGCTCCTGGCATACCGAGGGTCTGCCTTGGAGTACCAGACATGCTTCTCTGAAGGCAGTGAGTAACTGGAATCTAATGCAGAGACTGCACTCGGCTTCTACACTAAAAGCATATGCTCCTGCTGAACCAGTATTGGTTAATCCACACCCCAAACTATGCTCAAACCCTTTAGCACAGAAGTCACACACAGGAAATCAATGCATCTGATACAAAAGACACACAAAAGGGTCAATGCCTCACGATGCACACCAGCCAGAGTCGGATCTGCTGTGTACTTCAAACAGGGGCTGCCCCTGAGAGCAGCTGAACAAAGACTCTAGTTGTTCACTTTGAACAGCTGATTAAAACAGGTAACTGTGTCACAGCACGTCAGGTTGGACATTCTATGGTCAGATAAGTCCAAATTCCAACACAACCATCCGCAGTCCTTGTGACCTGTGTATGCCGTACATTTTCCCCCATGAAGAGATGAGCTGTGGAAGCAAAAATAAATGTTTGCTTCTGAAGGTCTAGAGCAAGAGCTTTTTTCTTCTTAGAAGTTCTGGGCTTCATCTGTATCCGCAGTACATAAAATGACCTAGTTGGCGTATTTTCGTCCAAACACTAGATGCAGCAGCTACTTTTTGGGTTTCTCTAGGATGTTCAGGAATTTCCCTCGAGTCATTTCTCTAGCTGAAATCACAAGGGAGGAAAAATAAATAAATATTTTTTAAAAAGCCAAGAAATGTAAACAATTGTATAATTTACATATTTTAACCATAGGATAAGAAATTCAGTTAGATTTGTGCTTGTACCAAAAGTGAGTAAGGCTTATTTTATTTATCTATTTAAGTGGAAAATAAATAAAACTACATTCCAACTTGATTTCCTGATATTGTAGAAATGCATAGGCAGGGCCTGGAATCTTCTAAACTCGGCAATAATTCCCACAGGCTGTCTCATTACATACAATCTATGCTTTCTATTCCCACTGCATTATGCTCTCGCAGCACCTCCTTTTCTCTGTACTATCCATCTCTGAATGGTGAAATCCACATCTCCATCACTCTATCTCCATGCAATTGTTCCTGGATGCTATAATCTGTCAGAGATTATGGAACTCTCTCTTTCTCCATTTCAGGATTATTGGTCCCTGGATGCTATGATCTTCAACAGAAATTAGACAGCATTTTCTCTCTCTCAGCAGTGTCAGTCCCTGGATGCTGTAATATAATGGGGTTTATATTCCTTCAATGCAGTTCATCTGTGGATAGTGTAATAAAGTAAAGTTTATAGAGCTTTGGTCTTCTCTCTCACTCTGCATTGTCAGTCCTTCGATGTTTAATACAGCAAGGCAAGGTTTATATGTCTTTCACTCTTGGTACCATCAATCTCTGGTAGCTGTACTACAGCAGGGTTTACACAGCCACTTTTCTGCATGAGACATTTCTGACTTGAGAACTCATAAGCTCACAAGCTGGCAGAGCAGTCCTAATACTATCCTTGTCTTGCAATAACAATACAGTGCACCAAAGACAACACCATTAGCAATTGAGTCTTGGAGAAAGACAATCTTCCCACTGGTGCCTCTACATTTCTTTTCAATAAAGGTATAAGCGTTGTGCTGGACTGACAGGCATCAAAACATGGAGGTTTTTATTCACAGGAATGACAAAAGAATGAATGTTCCCCAAACCAAGCCTAAAGATGGTCTGGAAGGAGATGGGAATTCATTTTCTGATTTATCCATTCAATTCCTGACCTCTCTACTGAGAGGAACAACAGAAATTACAATTAGCATAAAATCTAGAGGTGGGTTTGTTACTGATGTTGGGTTTTCTTTTGACATTTTTGATTATCTCTCAAAACAGAACTAAAATATAATAAAAATGTCCCGCTTAAAATACTCAATGTGCAGTCTAACATAAAAATATTTTGTAATTCTTTACATAAAAGTCAAAAATTGTGTCTTAAAGCCTTCTCTTTAAATTACTACATTCTAATTTGTCTACCCAAAATTTTATCCCAAGGTATTGTCATCAAAAAAATCCCTGTAAAACAAATAATGGTATGTATGTATGTAAAAGTATGTAACCGGTCTGTTATACACTGATACTCATAGATTGCAAAGTCCACTGGCCTAAATGGAACATGCTCCAGACTGGCTGCAGATTCTAGCAGGTCACTGCACTGTTCACTTGGTTCATGTCTTCAGCTGTGAGTTGTATCACCTGGGATCCACTCCCAACACTGCTTTTGATTCACAGCATGAACTACCACAAAAGTCCTCATCTGTACCTCTGCCCTCCCCACTTGTAAGATAACTTGTTTGTTTTAAGTGCTGACACAGGGATAGAAGGTGCTGCAGATGAGCAGAGTGAATTGTTATTTTGGCGGGAACTAAGTTGCTATGCAAAAAGAACGTGACTAAGTAAAACTGCAAGATTTTTAAAATTTCAGCTTGGAAAAAAATTCTCAGTACCAGTTCTCTGACACCTTCCTGCCTTGCGCTATCAACAGTGCATGGTTTTAAAACACTCTTAGCGGAGAAAGCACAAAGCCGAACTGTAGTTGATAGAGTGGAAAGTTTTCCAGAGTGCAAGTCCCATATAGGAGATATACGAATGCATGACAATTCTGTTCCCCCAAAGAGGGCTGCACCCTATAAATCAGGCAGAGAGCATAGACTCCTTCTGTGCGCTGAGGGAAATTACTGTGGGTTGGAGGTTGCTCCAGAGCACGTGCCCGCCTGTTCACTTGTCATCGGAGATGTTAACATTTCTGATTAATTCACAGACCTCTCATTTTATTCTTCATTCCTTTATCCTTGCTATCCTGTTCTGCTGCAGCTTAAAGATTCTTACCGACCTGCTACAATAATCACCGCCCGCTCCCCCCCCAACCTGGTGAAATTGTTTAGTGATGCCAACCGCGCTTTTAATTTGCAAGACATCAGACACAGAGGTAATTTATACCAACATCTGTTCATTTCTGACTTCTGAAACAAACTCGCACATGCTGCTACAAAATCCCATTAGGAGCAGGAGACAGCCTTCTGCTATTCTGTATTCCTCATCTCCTCAGACTCAGGCTTGCACCGGGGCTTTATTTTTAAAGATATGATGCCAAACTGAAAAAGAAAAAGGACCTTACATCTTTGTATATGTATGAAAATGGCCAGGAAATAACATCCTCATATGACAAAAAAATCACAGCCAAACTAAGGGCAAGTTTTCACAAACATTAACAACCTTCTTTTCCCTGCTTCAGCTGTTTCCTTTATCTGCCCAAGAATCATAGTTCAATGTATTCCTGGTAAACACAGGCCAAATTTTTATTACATGGTACTACGTTGAAACATCTTGGCTATTCCTTCCCCTTTGTTTCTCTTTAGGCTGCACTGGAGTATGATTTGAGCTTGAATTTTGCACAGTAAAAGCCTCTAATATTAAATTGACTTTTCTGCTCAATATTGCTTCTGATAAATGAATTCTTAATAATGGGAATAAAAAATATAATTTCCAGTGGGGTCTTACGGAGCTTGCTAGAGTGAGGGAAGAGCTTGTGAATGAAGAAACCATCATCCACATTCCTAATATGATTGCAGGCTAAGAGAGATGGTAAAACCAGTTTTAAGCAACTACCCAAGGGACCAGCAGAAGCCAGTTGAATAGTAGATAGAGGTGGATTTTTTAATTAAAAGGTTGGACAAAACTGTAGTGAAAACCTCAGAGATTTTTTCTTTACAACGATTGTTTAAACCACAGACTTCAAGGGAAGAGAGGGCTTGAGCACAGGTTTCCATCGCACCAGCAAACACACAGTACAGAGGCTGCGCAGCATGAAACAGAAACATGAATCTGCATGACAAGTCATGATTTACAACCTTGCCTACACTGTGTATCTACTACAATAGAAAAATCAACAATAAATAGATCGCAATAGCTTGGATACAAACAATCACACCTACTAGGGAGAAGGAAGACACTGAACTCCACAGAAAAAAAACACTTTAAGATATTATCAGCACTGGTTACAATGGAAGTAGTGTTTGAATAGACTCTTTCAGATAAACATATTGAAAAATGGTATCAGGCTATTATAATTAATAGAGAATGCTGTACTGTAGGAATTAAGTTTGCTGCCTGGCAAGATCTGCCAAGCAGATCTCAAGAACAGGTGTAGGAAAGGCTGGGGCTGAAAGGAGGAGACATTTCTACTTGATAGGGGAGCGGAATAAGGTTTAATATAATCTCCTCTTTAGAACTTCAATCCCTCAATCCCACATTTAGCCTTGTTGCCTTGGGCTCCTTTTTACTACAGTTGTCCCCAGGCTGCCTCTCTGCAGTAAATTTTGTAGTTGCTGGTTGAAAAGATTCAGTAGTATAGATTGATTTCCTACAAGTGAGGAGATGAGGGATTACCAAAAGCAGTCCTGGTTAACAAGATTGGGTGCAGAATCTCCTGCTAGAGCAGCCCACTCTGCCAATGCTTTGCATCCTTTCACTATGACATATGGGTTTCATTACACAAAGATTTTCCTGATTTTAACTTGGAGGCGATTACATTGGAAACTCAGAGCTATCTTTACATCTGTAGCAATTTAAAGGTTAAGTAACTTTTAATCAAATGACAAAGACTCATAATGTTTTTTCCTCAACTGAAAATGAAAACTGCTGTTCCGGATATTCCTTCCAGTGACAATTTAATTAGAAAAAAACACTGCACTGGAGACTGGGGTCCGGCCTGATTGCTCCCCATAAAAAGCCTTCTCACACATATGACAGACCAGGACATACTGTATCATAAGGTCTGGATAGCCAGGAAATAATGGAAGGATTTACTGCTGTAAAATCAGCAAGGAAAACAGTGATTTACACTTACATAAGCAACTTTCATCCAGGAGAATCCCTAAGCAACACACACACGTACAGACTTTTTAAACATAATATACACTTAAATGCAGAAGCACAACACACTTGGTGACATTCATCATGAACATTATACCTTCACTGCTTACTACTTCTGGGCTTACCTAAAAATCTCCAAACAAAGCCTGCAGCATCTTCAAATTACAGATACTTTAAAATGAAGTCACTTGCTAAAGAAGCACTTCTCTGCCTCTCTCCCAGATGTACAGCTTATGGGACAAATTTGACTGTGATCCTCCTCTAACCTGAAAATATAGCCTTGTTAAAATCTAAAGGTCTTGCTACTAAAAAAACTCAGAAATACAATTAATGTTTTTAGCTCTAAAATGTCCTGTAATATCACATTTTGACTGCTACATTCTTGACTACAAAAAGGTTACTTTAAGCACTGTCATACTTTGTTGGCTTATTGGTTATTCCTCCCATTCAGTTGTATTTATGGTTACTAAAGAACTTGTTTTTCAACATGGAAGAATTCCTTTTAATGTACGAATCATGAACTCTCAAACTACTGCTGTGTCTTAGGCCTACACAGGAAACAAAACTAAAAGGGTTGATTTCTGAAGAACTGTCCACGGAAATTACCACTTCAGGACATGAATTGCAGAGAGACAGCAGAACACTCCTCTGGTTTTTAACCTTCTTTCACAAGAATCTGTTGCATCAAAAATGATTTCTTACATGCTAAGATACAGTGTTAGGATAAGAAGACACAACCATTCTTCTTCTTAGTTGGCAGAGCATAAAAAAGGCCTAGAGGAA